AAAGTTCACATTTAGCCTCGTTTATGTCAAGTCCAATAGCATGTGCGCCTTCGATGACACGTCTGAAGTTTTCTGCAACAGTTGCCGGCGTTCCGCCCAGGGTTCCGTCGTCTAGGTACCAGGCATTAAGCTCGGTATCCAGCGTGGCAATTACTCGAAGCAAAGCCAGGCAGAACAGCAGCGGTCCCAACGGATCGCCTTGTTGCACCCCAGACTCAGACGACATCACCATTTCATCAATGAACAAAGAAGAATGATGTCCATACGCCGACCAAAAGAAATCATCGTATTCCGGGAAGTGTGTATGTACAGCTTCCAAAACCACTTCACGAGATACGGTATTGAATGCGTTGCGAAAGTCGATTTTCACGAGTGCTTTAATGCTCTCCGGCGTAGACTGGACAAAATGTCTGGTTGCGTGGACGATGGCCTCGGCTCCGCCCCGTACGTTGAAGCCAGACTGCTGAGGAGTTAGCAAGGCGGTTGCCCGGTCCGCTATTCTGCTGCAGATGATTTTGGCAAGTAGACGACGCATCGACAGTCCTACCGCTATAGGGCGCAACCCGCCGTCTTTCTTTCGCAAAGCCAGCAATTTACCTCCAAAAAATATCGGCCGTATATCAGCAGGTACTTTGCCTTGCATAACCAAGGACAGCACAGAGGCCATGGCTTCGCAAAAGGGACCGCTCAGATCATCTAACTTTGAACCCACCAAGTCCAGCAGATGTTGGGGCCTTAAGCCATCTGGTCCTGCTGCTGAGCCCCGCGGGAAAGTGTGGATGCCAGCAAAAACCTCTGCAGCAGTTATTACGGGCGCAGCAGGAGCGGTGGTAGCGCGGCGAGCCGTTGACGGTGGGGCGCATAAGGGGTGCTTCTCTCGTAAACTTTGGAGAACTTCAGGGGTGCAGTCCGCCACTGAATCAGTAGACAACAAAACCCGCATTGCTCCGGAGATGGATCCGTCGTCAATCTTCTGACCGACTTGACGAACGAGATCTTCATCGCTGCTGCGTTTTCTCCGACTTGACGGTGGGGGGCTGGGAGGCACATCCGTACCTTGTTCGTATAACGCGAGGTTTTTCTTCACTGCAGTTGCAAGTGAGGCTGTTCGCTCGGATTTGACTTTATCTGGGAGGCGGAGTGCACTAGGGCAGAAAAAGAGCAGTTTCGTCCAAGACTGGCTGTCGTTCTTGGTGGCGACCTGTTGGAGCACTTTCTGTAGTGCGGATCTCACCGCAGGTCTTGCACCATGGGGAACGCGGCGTAGTATTCGCTCCTTACTCGGGTGAAAAGATGCGGCCGTAGGTGGGGTAGGTGCAGCTCCCCGCGAATTGCTAGAAGTGGAGGCAGCGCTGGCGGCTGGGATCAGCTTCAGGTCCTGCGACAGGGTTTTGGGGCAAACGGGTCTGTGGGATCCCCAGGCCTGCAACAGTTTACCGCAGCCAGAACAAGAAAACTGAGGCATGGTGGGGAGAACATTCGCCGATGAAAATCGCAGTTAAAGGAGCAGATACTGTAGTGAGGGACTTACAAGAAAATCGCTGGTGTGTCGCTGGATGCCTACGGGACAGCTGCCACCACACAGCCTCTGGAGAAACGATCTACCAGACTAAGGTCCCGTAGCCACCCTCCATACTGAATGACGGGAAATTTGTCATTCAGGGGCAAAAATCACGAGCCCGCAGTAAAGATGAAAGAATTAAACGATTCAGGTAGTCCAACATAATGGGCATAGTTGAGATTTCCGAAAGCGTCGTATTACATACAGTATTAATTACATACAGTATGTATCACATACAGTATGTATGTAGTTGGTAGTCAAAACACTTTAACAAAAACGCGGTCGCGTTTTCACTCGATAAACTGATAATCTTTTTCTCTGGAGACCGTAATGTTTGCAAGCAGTTATAGCACTAGAGCTTAATTTCCGGTCGAAAGACTCGAAACTTTTTGTCGTCCATAATATTACTGATGGCCTGCCGTTGAGTGCTACGGGGAATGTTTAAATAGCATTACACTGCTGTGCTTTATGAATATTTCAATTATGTACATGGTTGTAGAGGTAGGAGCATTAGTATTATTACCAATAATTATTTCGATATTAGTGTTTCTGTTGATAAATATGCAGTTTTGTCGTCGATATATGTAAATTATTGTTATCAAACAGGAGAAACGATTGGCCTAATAATAGGACCACGTTGTTTTAACATTTGATCTAAATTAGCCGAAACAGGTAATGTCATGTGCCTGTACAGTGCAAAATTTGTAAAATTATTGAATAAATTAATACCTTATGTATTCAGTGCAAAAAAATAGTATTCAGTTTGGGTATAATCGTTGCCACTCATCAGTAGTGCAACGTCATACTGCATGAACTGCTTATTCGTCTCTGAATTATTAGTCTACAGGAGAGTGGCAGTCGTGCAAATTTTAGTCTGGATTTACTGCTTATAACTCTGCATACTGTAGTTCACTATTGTCACAGTATTGTGTAACTTTTATGTTAACAATTTTTGGAAACAATCACGTCAGTTTTTCTTCTGGTTTGACAGATGCCTAATTATGTAGTCGCTGACATTAACTTAATGAAATAATCGTCATAAGCTAAGCCACCAAAGGAGTGTGCGGAGAAACTTAGCTAGAATCCTAATGTAGATAGTGGTATTTGTCGATGAGCTGGCTTCTATTAGAAGTTTTTTACCAAAGCGAAAAAAGCCCTATGCTCAACTCCAAGGCATATTCCAGCGGTGTGCGTCTTAAATCGGGAAGAACCGCAACTGTCTTTAAATGAACGTTTTATCCTTTTGTATTGTATTTGTGGTACTTGGCGCACAGGGCAAACTGCAAGTGACCTTTTGAAATTTTATATGCCGGAGCGTCCTTTAATGCAAACTTTGTGCATCGTCAATACCGTTAAAACAATGAAAGAGAACTGCATACATACTGCCAAGAGTATCTACAGTAGACCAAACGCGCCGAATCCGCTTATACGTTGTGCCACATTTTATGCGGCATCTGCCAGGTTTTATCGCTTGCCAATTGCCAGAGTGTCCAGTTTTTATCGCATGCCATGCCACTGGCAGTGCCATTGGCAGGTGCCACTGCCAGGTTTTACACCCTGCCCACTCCCCGCATCAGCTGCAGCGTCTGTGTCGGCAACACAGGATTGGTGTATGTTTCGGGTACGTCACTGCAGTAAGCATTCTTGCCCAACACGGTGCTTTAAAATTGCAGTTCCTCATATTTTGCTAATGGTAGCACGTAGTACAGTGGTACGGTACCCTGTTAAAGGGTGGCTCGATGACGTACTACACGCTTCCATGTGCTAGTCTAGTCATCAGCCCAGCTATCGCGTCAAGGCCATACGTAGCGCGTACATGAATGATAACACTTCGGTCGGTTAACTGGAGCGGTTCAATGGAGCATAGAACGACACTGGAGGCCTCTAATCCAGCCGTCTCACCAAAGTCTGTACAATGGTAGAAAGTGAACATGTTTATTACTACCTTAACAAACAAAACTTGACTGGAATGCAAGCTGCTCATTCTTTGTTTATTGCGCAAGGAACAGCGAGTTTCATGAAACAGGTCTTGATACTGAATGGGAAACTGTTTGCGCATGAGCCAAGAAACAGCCATGGAAAAGGCACACTCCCATACGGCTGCGAACCCATCCCACCACGCGCTCAGATGCCGAGGATAGTACTGACTCAATCGTGGACTGAGGGCAGGTAGTATTCCAATTGTCATTTGCATGGTGGCGCTTGCAGTTCTTGGCGTAACTGCACTGCTTAATCACAGACTGTCGTGAACAGCCGTACCCGGTACAGTGAAAGTGCGCAACCATGGACCGCAAAATAATAGATATTTTTGCCATACACGGTCCCATATTCAGCGCATAAAAACCCGGCAGACTGGCTGTACAGTAACTCTACAGTGTTCTAAAGTCCCTTTCTACAGTATTCCCTTTGTACCGTGTCAACTCTGCTCCGCTTGACATATTGAAAACCGTAGCCGGGATCAGTTCAATTTATTACGAATAACATAACTCGTCATAATGGTCTGCGATGCATCCAAACACACAAGTCGCATCGTCGAAGTACCCGAGTTGCAGTTGGTACTTTCCACTGCGTAAGAGCAGCCGTACCACACAGTGGCACACACATACACTAGTGGTGGGAAACTGCTGTCGGTGCCATTTGGCAGTCATTCATTTCCTGCTGAACTACGCACCATTGCAGAGGAAATGGCTGAGCGTTTGAAATGTACAGGGTGCCGTGAATTAAATTCTAGGAGTCACTCGTGTGAGTCGTGTCACATTGTGCTGTGTTATACTTTTACTGTTTTATTAGAAAATGAGGTCGTATTTACCGGCAGAACGTATGTAAAAAAGCGCAACAAAATTAGAGATCTACGACGGAGAGATCTACGATCGTAGATCTCTTGACGGAGAGATCTACGATCCCCAGCGAAACAAGTCGACTGAAAAATGTAAGTTTTCAAAGAAGTGTAATTTAAGTAGTGTGCGTCTTGTATGGACTGACTGGTTATCAGCACATGATTATTCATTTTTATTAATTTGGCATGAACGGTGACCAGTCTTATCGTTAACGAAAATTCATCCACTGTTATGAGGCGGAGCTAGCATGTTGTTGAATATTGTTAGAATACACTGAAAACTAAGAAAATAAGAAGCCCTACTGCAGGAAAGTTACTTTTGTACAGTGAGTTGAATGCTAATCGGATACGACTCGCTGAAGAGTCGTTTTCCACAAAGTGCCAAGTGGACTCAGCACACAGGAAGTTTTCCCGCCCTCGATGTATGGTAGTATCAGTGCGACGTCCTAAACGTAAAGTTGCAAATCAATATTAAAGAGATTATGCAAGAAACGGCGACGTAATCATGCACCTTCATGACCCGCATGGCCTTTGCAGTAGTTTGCTGCTAGACGATTTCCTTTTCTGCTACTGCTTTGCTACATAAACAAAATTTTTTTGTAGTTGTCACAAATTCGCGCCGAGTCGAAGGTGCTATTGTCAGCACTGGTGGCCGCTTGTATATCATGGGCGGCATGTCGCTTCCGCGCCACGGCATGAAATGGAGATTCAGTGGTGCAATGAGGCGAATATTCACGGAGGATGGACGCTACATGAAGGCCAAATCCCACCGGGCCGATGTTCTGGATTGAAGTGTTCACAGCTGTTCTACTGCTACCAAAAGGTAAGCAAGCGACAGTTATTTTAATCTCATGGAACTTTTTCCTTGACATTTTGCCTCCATAAGGATCCGTGGTTTTGCCCCCGCACTGAGATTTCATCCCATTTTGGCTGTGCTGTTCGAGAATTTGGACTGTTTGAGCTGCAACTGAAAAGCCAACATCATCAGGACAGGTCGAGTGTATACCATAGCGCATTTCTTTTTAGTTTGTCTCTGAAATAATTTGTCCACGCAAACTATTTGTTGATAAGCTTAATCTCTTTATTAATGCGATTGTCGAAGAATCTTCGTATGAGCAGGCTTTATGTACACATGCCTAATTTCTGTAGTTCTTTATGAGGTTGTACGCCGACGGTCTCCGTAGTTAAACTAATGTGTACGTCATATTAAACTGTCAGTATGCGATGCCACAAGTAACCTCCCAACAGTGTTACCTTAATCTGGAAAACCCAACGCATCATATGTGGACCTTTTGGGACGCTTATTACCTGTGATGGGCGGCATATTTGATGTGCGCGCGTAGACGTCACCGAACGTTCTCCCATACTTACTTTAGATGATTATTACACAAAAACAGTAATACTTACCGGAAAATAAAAAATTTATTTAAATACAGCACATTTTATTCTACAAAGTGATGTAAGTGTCATATTTTGGTGAATATGCGCTGATTTCAACTTTACTGGTTAGCTCGGCTCGCAAACTGTTATTGTAGGGTCACTCTTCACTAGTCGACCTTGTAATCCAGAGCGTGTTCTTCTGTAACCTTTATTCGTTCACAGCTCGCAACACACTGGCTTTTGCCGTAAAACATAAATCTCTTTTATACTCTTTTTATGACAGTTATCATCCACAGGATCTGTGGGGATATACTAGCGCCCATCAGATATCGGGCTAAGAACAGCGAACGTTCAGCGAACGTGCATGACACAGCATGCCCACAGACAATAGACTTTAACTATCGGACATAGTTCATATAAACATAAACTATCCACGCGTCTGTGGCGTGACACTGCCCTCCGCCTGGTGTTTCGGTCCTCCAAAACGGAAGCCTATGAAAGGGGGGCAGTCGGAATGGTCCGGAAGTGTCCGGGCAGGTCAGCTGACGGAATATCCGGGTAAACCCGAGTAGTTACTACGGCCAGGGGAATCTCGACTCCTGGTTCCATCCGCGTTTGTCCAGGCTCCATGTCCGCAGCCGGTCGTCGAATCCTGCTCTCCCATTGTTTCCGACACACCGTCGTTAATCGCGAAAATCCGTTGCGCATGCAACACGCGAAAACCACACTTCCAACAGAAAGTATGATGACGATGGCTGTGATCACGTATTTGATTATCGTGACCCATGAAGCCACCAATGGTAGTTGTCGTCCAGACTCAACAGCTGTCTGTAGGAACTCGTCCGCATGACGAAGGCCATTCTCCTCCATCGCCCCTGCGATCTGAGCGAGAATCCCATATGTGTACCGGTGTTCACGACTAAGAGCGTTGGACAACGCTTCGTGAGACAACTCAGTTGACACATTGAACTTAGCCAGCAGAGACTGATGTGATAGCCGCTGTGTCGGCTGCTTCCGCATCCAGTCTCCGTTAACAGCGATGAACGGTAAACCGCTTAAGTTCACAATTTCAGAATGCCAGTAGCATGTCTGGAACGGAACTAAACTGTACCCATCGTAAGCTATCGTCCAGTTACGATAGCGGGGCTGAGGCCCACAGGAGGTTGGAAACACTTCAATCTCCACTTCCAGTGCTTGGCACTGTTGCATGACGGCGTAGCTACCAAAGCTACGTACATGTTGACAGGTCGTGTACCCTAGCCGTCGCGCGGCCAAGATCCCGCTAACATGGGATAAGGTCACGACGTCCCACATCAGAGACTGATCCATCTTGCACCTCAGCTGGTTAGTCGCTTCGACCAACACGTCTCGTGATCCGTTAATGTACTCCGGATCCACTGAAGATGACTCGCCAGATAATCGGCCGAGCTCAAAACTAAACCGTCACTCGATCGGTTTCCAGTTCCAATCACCGGCGCTTTAGCTGGGCTACTTCGGAGCCCACTAGTACTCCCAAGGACAATCACAATACCAGGTTTATTTGCCACCCGGTAAGTTAAGGAACTGTCAAAGCCGCACTCAGCGGTTTTGTTACCAAGCAAAAACTCCATCTGCGCCGTCGGGTCACGGAACCGAGTTGTATTGGCGTCTTTTAAAAGCGTTCCCTCGCGGGCCGATACCCGTTCCCATCGACACGCTTTCGCGGCGTATTCACTGGGTTCCCAAACAATCACGCGATGACCAAACCACGCCATCCCATCTGTGGCCGTAGAAAGGTCACCGAATACGGATCGCACTACGCAGGTCGGGCATTCACGTTCCAACGTGACATGCTCGTACTCGCAATTCCGTAAGGTATTGTTCTTGGTCTGCATCCAAGACCCGTCACCAGTCGGTTCCTGTATGCAAGCCCAGGTCAACCCTGACTTCTCCATGGCGTTTTCGCCACATTTCCCGGTCCGAACCATGTCCCAGCACTCATTTGCACCGGTGTCTCGTACTGATTCACGAAGTATGGTATCAGTCCAACCGGTAAATCCTTCTTGAACGGAACCTATCCGGTTCCATGTTCGACAGCTGTACCCTTGGAACATCTGACCGGTCTTTGCGGCCTCCAGGTACACTTCGAATTTGATCGGCGTTCCTTTTGACGGCCCTTAATAGTCACGATACGAGGCTAAACATTCGAGACTGACTACTCCAAGGTACGTTGGCTGGCTACAGTCGCATCCCACCACTGGGACTGCGTGTACCAGTCGAGCCATGAACCACAAGGTTGCCAATGCTACGATCTACCACATCGAGCATGTGACTTTTGCCTGAACCGATAATCGGTTCGGGCATCGACGAGGTTCCTTGTATTTACGCAGCTGATTTCCGACTACACGAGCCGGTTCAACCCTTCTAGGTCGAGCGAGTACAACATTGCAATCGTTGACATAGAACTTGGTCTGAGTGGTCGCTCGCCCGGATCGGCGCAGCGGTTCCACATTAGATGCGGCACCCTCACTGTCGGAGTCGATACCATCTGCATCTACTTCTGGCTGGTGGGGTACGGGCTCACCAAACACTGTTGATTGGTCCACTTCTGCTGATTTTCCTTGAGGGGCACTCGTTTCTTGTCTTCCTCCCGCTGAAGAAGATAAGAAACGGTCATCTCCGCTTTCCGTTTTGTGGATGACAGGCTCATCTTTAAGGGGTGCTGTGGGGATCCACCCTTCTCCTTCGCCGTCTTCGGAATCCTCGTATAACTCGTTACGGTCATAGTACCGTTTGAGTTTACTCACATGGACCACGAACTCTTGCTTCCGTCGTTTACCTTGGGTCTCGACCCGATAGGTAACCGGAGACATCTTGGCCAAAATACGGTATGGACCATAATACCGGCTCAAGAGTTTGGTCGCTTTGCCTTTTTTACCCGCTGGATTAAAGACAAGGACCGCTTCACCGGGTTCGTACTGAACATCTCGGTTGGTGTCGCGTCCAACGATATAGTTCTGTTGGACCTCGATCTGCGCACCGGCTAGTGCGTGCAGTTCTGCCAGCCGCTCTCCAAAGTCACTGAAAAACTTCGGGACATCAGTCGGAACTAATACGTCCACCGGAAGTACGGCTTCTCGCCCATACAACATCCGGTACGGAGAGAACCCAGTCACATCGTGACAGGAGGTGTTATAGGCAAAGACCACCTATGGTAACGCCTCATCCCAAGTCTTTTGGTCGTTATCGATGAACTTGGACAGCATCCCGGCAAGGGTTCGGTTGAACCGTTCGCAGGACCCGTTGGTCTGAGGATGGTAGCCCGAGGTAACTATCCTTTTCACGTTCAAGAGCTTACAAAGCTCGGTGGTCACTTCATTTAGGAACGGAGTACCTCGGTCGCTGAGGACTTTCAAGGGAATTCCCTGACGTAGGAAGATGTCGAACACGCGAAATCGTGCGACCGTCTCCGCCGTTTGCGCAACCAACGACTTTGCCACTACAAACTTGGTGAACAGGTCGGTGGCCGTAATGATATACTTCTTACCACCACTTGATCTTGGTAACGGACCCAGTACGTCCGTAGCCACAATTTCCCAAGGGCCTTCGGCACAAAAGGGCTGCAGTGGCCCCGCCGTAGCCGTGGTCGGAATATTCCGTGTCTGGCACGGTACACATGTCGCGACGTAACGTCGGACATATTCCACCATAGCAGGGAAAAAGAATCGTTCCCGGACCCCATCCCACGTTCGTCCGAACCCGAGGTGCCCTACGTACTTCTCGTCATGGCACTCTCGTAGGATCTCTTCAGGGAGCTGCTTTGGCACTACCAACAGCAACTGCTCCTCTCTGGACCCGTTCGCCCGCCATCGACGATACAAGATCCCGTCCTTCAACACGTACGACTTTCGTACGATCGTGCCCTCCGCCTCGGGTGGAAACTCCCGAAGTCGCTCCAAGACAAACGCGTCCTTGGCCTGCTCGGCAGGGAAATCTCTCTCCGGCCGGTCAACAACAGCGACGACCATGTTGACCTGATGGACCGGTGGATAACGCGACAAACAATCACCATCGTGGTGAGTCGCTCCCGGTTTGTACCGGATCTCGAGCTCAAAGTCTTGCAGCCGCAGCGTCCAGCGCACAAGTCGGCTGTGCAGTGTTTGGACTCCCATGATCCAACACAAGCTGTGATGACATCAGTGATCATCCGCTGAAAAGCAGCAGGTGCATTCCGTAGGCCGAAAGGGAGAACTTGGTACTCGTAAAAAGCACGACCAGCCTGAAAGGCTGTGATCGCCTTCGAGTCTTCGGCCAAAGGTACTTGCCAGTCCCCGGACTGACAGTCAAGTGTCGTGAAGTACTTCGACCCACTCAGACATGTCAGACAATCCTCCACGTTTGGAAGCGGAAACTTGTCGGGTACGGTCAACGC